CACTTCATTTTCATGACGAAGAAAGCTATATTTTTATCCTATTGTTGCGTCAGCGAGTCACATGACCACTGTGGCGCCCTCTAGTTTCTAGAACTATCTTGTTCTTTCAGGAATGCTCTAGTAATTACTAGTAGGGTAGGCTGGTATATATAAGAGGGGAAAACGTGACGCGGTAATGTAATGTGTGTGTAGATAGTGAGTAATTGAACTGCAGTCACAGGGTATTGTTGAAGTTAACGTTCGTTCGTTACAGTGTTGTTTTAGCGCGAGTATTGAGATTAAGTGTATCGGTAAAGTTATATTAGGAAAGAATAAACCAGTTTTATTAAGTAAAGACTTGTGTCGTTAAAATTTCGTCGGAACGAAGTTACGGAAAGTTAATTAACAAACGGAGACGTAACAGTATTGTGTTTTGTTTTACAATAGTTAATGTACATCTTTGTTAAAAGTTTTTTTCTTATTTTGTGATGAGTGCAATTCATTGATAAAGGGTTTGTGACATTCATGTTACATTTATGTGTTTGGGGGATAAAGTAAAATGAACATGATCCTTTACCATGTCACGAATTTAAAGATTATTGATTTTAAAGTAAATTTATATTGTCGACTTAAGGACAAGCCTGAAACAGAGAAGAGAGGAAAAGTGTGATATGCAGGCATGCTATGTGTTTTCTACCTGCTTAATTATACAGGAATTTTAAACATTTTTCGCTTATTTAGTTTGTATGCAATCTTAGTGTAAACATTTGGTCTGACAATAAATGAGACTGTCTTATTCTAGTTCCTTTGATACATTTACATGTATTGCCTTGCATTTGGTATAATAAAGATCCATCTGCCATTTATTTGCCCAACGAATTAAAAAAAAATCTATATTATTTTGTAAAGAATCCTCCTCGTTCTCACAGCCTGCTCGTGTTATTAGGTTGATATATTCTAGATGTCTATGTCAGTGTGTGTATTCTGAACTCATTTTAGCATAAAAGTATAACCTATATACTTTTCTTGCTAAGCAACATGACATAAAACTCATTGTTGGAATGCATTATTACCTAAATGCACTGGCTTTCCTATATATTAGAAGTTGTTATATAGGGAAACACGTCTTTTAGATGTGGTTTTTTGCTAGCTTGCCTCATAAATAGATGCATACGCGGATGCGCATGGATAAGTAATAATACCCAGGTGCACACCCTCACTTAGTATGGGTGCAAAGTTTCCGGTTTCTAGGTTCTTCGCTTATGGTGCTATGGTTGTCACATACTATTTACTATGTGGTTTTTCGCTAGGTTGCCTCACTAAAAAATGTGCACGCGCGTGGATAAGTAATAATATCCTGATGCACACCCTCAGGGTCCACTTAGTATGTCTGCACAATTTCAGGTTTATAGGTTCTTTCCTCTTGGAGTTGTCCTCAAGTGGCACAGCGGTATATCTGTGGACTTACATCGCTAGAATTAGGGGTTCGATACCTGTGGTGGGCAGAGCATAGGTAGCCCATTGTGTAGCTATGTGCTTAATTACAAACAAACAAACCTCTTGGCGTTATGGCGGTCACACACACACGGACACGCCATTTTATTATCATAGATGTGTAACTTCAAACACTTTTTTGTTCATTTTTGTTGATTTAAAATATTTTTATTGCATATTCTTAAAGGCTTAATAAAAATGAAGAAAAACATGTTTTTAATATAAAACATAACATAATAAATGCGTATGTCTGAGGGACCATATAGTACAGTGGTGATATCATGAACTACGATGATTCACAAGAACCAATGAGATTAAATGATTTAGGAATTCTTGTGAAAAGTAAGATCAGATTGAGAACAAAGAAGATTGTGTGGCGAAAGACAAAAAATTGAAATTCAGTACGTATGTTTTTGAACTATTTGTTGCAATTTTTTCGAGGACCATACAATTCTTAAGTTATTGCAAGTTAAATATATTAATGTCAGCATCAAAATAGTTTACATTGATCGTTATCATTAACTTTAAGTTTAAGCCCACATTGTCATTATATTTAGATAACCGGATACCTTAGGCTTAGTTCTCAGTAATACTAATAGTAATACTACTTCTATAGAGCGTGATATTCTCGAGGCTGTTTAATCACGTTAAACCTTTCAACTCCTAAGTGTAATGAGGTTTATTCACTAAATCAAACGGCGCGAGTTTAGTTGTCAATACGTCAGTATTATCTGGTTTTGGCATAGGACACCTTACGTATTAATCTTGTCCATACTTTATTGACTAAGTAATGCTAATAATAAAACTAAAAACTTCTGTTGTTGTTAAGCTTTGACATGATAATTCTCACTAAAGTATAATTTGAAACAAAAGGAACTGGTTAACAAAGTTTTACCTAAAAAAAAGGAAGATATTAAAAAATGCAGTGAAGTAAATCCAGTTATAATTTTAAATACACATTATTCTTTGTTCTTCAATGACTCAAAGTACACAAAATGTTGGATTTTTAACCTTTTCAACCAGTTTCAAAAATCAGTGTAATCTGTAATTCTGAAACCTGATGTATTAATGAATTTAACATACCAGTAGCTGTTTGTGCAGCAACGTCTTTTAGAATATCACCTGTTTTAACAGTTGAGAAGAAATTTATAGATTAGTATTAGAGACTAAATAAAAAAAATCATAGTTTTCTTTTCAAATTATATATTTTTCCTAGAAATCACAACATCTGTGGTTTACCCAAGCCACCACCATCTTGTTGGTAAAGTCCAAATAGCTATGACAGGCCAGTAAATGAATGATTAATTACACACATCACTGTTGCTTCAGTATTCAATACTGTATTTGTTAAATTGTAATTGGGGGATGTTAATATACATTGACAGTTATTTCTAGTGTATTTGTATATGTAAATTATATTTCTTTAAGACAATGAAGTACTCAGATTGGTTTGAGCAAATATCTATTGCATTTCTTTTATATGTCTAATTTGCACAAGATTGTATAAATAATTTGATATTTTTTTCACTCACTGTTAGTTCCCTTCATTTTAGCAATACCATAATATCAGAGTTCATGTGTAAAAATTATTATACAACTTTATAATAAAAACAAACTTTGGTATTGGGGGTTTCATTATAAGGTAGCATTTTTTTACGATCAAGGTTTCTTAATGACAGCTTGTAACAAAAATTTTATGTGCACAATAGATTTAAGGTAACTATATAATAAGATCATGAAGACAATTAATTCAGTGCTTGCTCACAAAAATGTTATTAATTACTAGCTACAACCTACAAAACATTTTCTGTAGTTTTCATGCCCTTTGCTTGAATTTTCTTTATTCTATCATTTTCACACACAGCATTTAAGCTATGCTTTTTTGCAGACATTGTGTTAGATCAATAAATCCTGGTCTATTTGAAAAAATTATGGGGTCAGACAAGCAAATTCACATAGATGTAACATTATTTAATAAAACTACATGTGTGTAATTTTATTTAGTAAAACATAAAATAAACAATAAAGTATAGTATTGGTATTTTTATAATAGTGTAGAGAGTATGAAATGGTTATGAGCATTCAGTGTATGATACAGTTTTATGAGTTGTAACAAAGAAACTTATAAAAACAAAAAAATATAACCCTAGTAAGGAAAAAGTAAGTAAAGGTGTTTATACTAATCATTGAAATGAATTAAACTAAATAATTGCAATGTAAAGTTATAATTAAGGCAAACTTAGCTGAATATTCAGAAACGTCTGAATGCGTGTTCACAAAGTATGTGGTTTTGAATGAACTGGGCATGCATATTTTAGACCTAAATAATTCAAGAAAGCCCATAGTAAAATGTCCTCTCTCTCTCACTTCTTTTTTTTTTTTTCTCTATCTCTCTCCCCAAAGCCCATTGTGCCATCATGTAGTATGCTCTTTGCATTAAAAAGTTTGACTAAGCAAAAAACTGGTAATGTGGTTCTGAATCGAAAAGCCAATATGGCAATCATGAAAATTGCTGGTACCATTTTTCTATTGAAATACTGCTAGTAAAAATGAATTTTAATTTCCTTTCACTTTCATGACTAGTCTTCATCAGGTTCTGGGTCCTTGGTTATCTTTGATAAATTGATAAGGGCCCCAGTTATTTTATCTCATATTGGTCCTCGGTTCATCAGTGACAATTCCCCTAGTACCTGAAGTAGTTGAAATAAGTTAAATTAACTTAGTTCAAAATATGGTATGAAATTTATGGACCTCTCCCTAAGTGATTATGTATATCAAGTTACAACTGTTTAACTCTTTCAGTACGGGCCCAGTTCCTGGGACCGACCTCATAACCATTTTGTGCTTGTTATAGTTTTCATGCTATAACTATGTTCCGAGTTTATTATAAATTACTCATTATAATATAAATACTACTGAAGTTTAGTCTAATTTTTATAGCCTTTGTTTACAAAGCTATAAACTAGAAAGTCAGTTCCTCTTGCCCCACACACACATTACATCCTCCCATTCTCAAACTGCCAATGTTTCTCTCAGACCTTTGCTGTTACATCATTTATACCTGTAGAAAGACAGTTTTAATTTACCAAATGATGTATAATGCTACCTTGTTCTCAGTAGAGATTTTAGTTGTTTTGTATATAGATTGAAAGTAGCTAAGGGAGTTGTTTTAAGGCACTTATGCCTCAGTTACAAAGCCAGTTAAATAATAGTTATAGGACATTGTTTGCTTTGTGTGTATTATTTGTGTTCGTAAGTGAATACTTGAAATAAATAAATATTTAGTCCCCCAGTGGTAAGTCTGTGGACATTGTGAGCACAGCACAGATAGCCCATTGTGTAGTTTTGTGCTTAATTACAAATAAACAGAAATTATTTAATGGACTAGTATCACCCATTACAAAAAAGTAGGCTTAAGTTTCATTGGCAGGCAGATTTGAACTTGCTACCTTTTGAGTTTGATTAGATGTTAATACATTTGTCAAATGCACAATTAAAGCTTCTCCCATCAAAGAAGATATCTGTACCAAGTGTCCTTATTTGATGGACATATTTTTAATTAACAGAAATAGCATTTTTTCATGTACAAGATTTTTTATTAGTATTTTTTCATTTTTGGTAAATATAAGTAGAAAATTGGTCTCAGACTCATTGTTTTTAATTGATGTTCAGCTCTGAGCTACTAATGGAATTTTATCTTGTTTAGAAAACCATTTAACTCTCTCAACATGGACTTGGTCAATTTGACTGACCACGTGACCTATATGTACTTGTTTAGTCTTTATAGATTTAATACTTCTAACTCTCAATATAGTGTGTATATATTCACACAATTTTGCAGTTAACATTATAAGTGATTCATATACAAAAAATCATATTTTTAGTGAAGTATTTTTAACCCTATCACCCTGGATATGACAAGGTTTTAGTGTTTTACATTCAAACTTTTAGTAAACTACTTTTTGTTTATGTTACACCAATTAGAATAGCATAAAATCTTAGCTAATAATCCATATTTTAATAGTATACAAGTTTTAAGTTCTTAAGTCTACAAGGCAACATTTAAAAAAATCCTGAATTTCCACTAGTGTGACCCACATGACACATTTTCTCTTAGCATGTCATAATCCATATTTTATCCATCACTCCTCAAAAAAGTACAAAATTAAACGTAAATTACTCTATAAAATCCTTATTGCTCAGACAAACCATAATTTTTATAGCCTTCAATTTTATTTGGTTACAGAGCTATCGAATAGAAAATCAAACCCCTTCTGCCACACATACCTGCCACATCCTCTCTTTCAGAACTTGTTGATAGTTCTCTCTTACATTTCATTATATATTACCTATAACCAATAGAAAATCTGGTTTCATCTGTCAAATGACGTATTGTATAGCTTTATGTTCTAAATGGTTAAATGTCAATTTTACTTAGAGTACTAACATTTTTCCCATGAGAAAGTTAATGACTAGCTTGGATGAATTTGTAATGGCTCTTGTTGTACAATTAAAAAGCCTGAAAAAATTTCAGAGTTAGAGGATATTGTCTACTTTTTGCATGTTATTAGTATATGTTCTTTGGTGCATTATTTGATAAAACTTGTTTGGTGTGTTACTACCATTAGTATAAAATATTGGGGTTAACTCTCTTTGAAAACCCGAAAGTAATAAAAATGTAGATTGGGTAAGTACTTTTTTTCTTGTTTTTCATATTTATTTATAAAAGTAACTAAAATCTAAAAATACAGATCTTTTTAAATTATTTAAAACTAGATTAGGTAAAATAAGTAATAAAAATAACATAATTAAAATGGTTTACGAGGCATGCATGTGAGAAATTCATAGTATCTCGTGGGTAATGTAATTCGATAGTGTAATATGAGCATAATGTAATCATATTTTTAATAAAATAAAGATTTGTCCAGGGAATGTGTAGCTCATGTTACACTATCGAATTACATTACCCACGAGCTACTATGAGCTGCTTACATGCGTGCCTCGTGAAACATTTTCATTATATTTTCTTCATGTAATCTAATGTGAACTAACCTAAAAATATTCCTATTTTTACATTTTAGTTACTTCTATAATAGTAAATAAAGAATAAACATGAAAAACAAAAAATAAAGTATTTAACTAATCTTTTTTTTTTTTTTGTCAATTGTCATTGAAACTTAATCCTACTTTTTTATACTAATGGTAGTAATGCACCAAAGAACATATACTAATAACATGCAAAAAGTAGACAATATCCTCTAACTCTGAAATTTTTTCAGACTTTTTAACTGTGCAACAAGAGCCATTACAAATTCATCCAAGCTAGTCGTTAACTTTCCCATGGGAACGATGTTAGTATACTGAGTGAAATTGACATTTAACCATTCAGAACAT